GATGAAATATTGTGGCCAGTCACGTAACATGAATTGCGACTCTAGAATTTCCGATTCACTTGCCTTTCCCTCGCACATTTACCTCCAAGTTTCCACTTACATGCATCAGTTCTACTCGAAAGATCGTGATTGAAAAAATTGAAGGAAATCAAAGGATGCCACAAGGAGAAGGATCCTTGCACAAGCACCACTAAAATATATATATACGTCTTGTTTTTTAAGCGTCGTATAAAATCCAATTTATGTTAAGAATACTTTCGTTAAATGAATTTCGATCTCGCGTGAACATCGTGCATAATTTCGCAAAGAAAGACATATGGCAGAAATTTCGCAAATTTTCCTCTTTCCTTCGTGCCATATAAATTCCCGACGCGTTAAAATGCACGCCGCTGTTCAAGCGGAACGACGTCTTTGGAAGAACATCTCGAAGTAATTTTTCTTTCCAGCAGCGAGTCCCGGCGAAATGGCTCCGGCAAAGCTGGGCTTGCGGAAAGATCGAGAAAGAGAGAGAGAGAGAGAGAATCTCTCCGATTGTTTTTTTAGAATCTTTTTTTTTTTTGGAGTTCACAAGCCGCGATGGCAGTCCGTGCAATTTCAAACGTTACGACGTCCCTGGAGAGGGAAGAAACGGAGCTACAAAGTAATTTTTCCCTCGCTTTTCGCTCTCTCTCTCTCTCTCTATCTTTCCCTATCTCGTTTCTTCGTGCGCGGTAGATATTCCCGGTGAAACTTAAAGTACCGCGAAACCGAGTTTGTCTCCCATGACCCCTTTACATGCTACGCTACGCAGTTCAGGCATTTGAATAACGAATGTAACAAAATTCTCCGTCCATAATGCGCAACGTTCCCTACGACATTTTCCGCGCGAATAACGTTCGTCGTAAACCAAACTGCACTCTCATTACATCGTCTCGTATGTTACGAGAATTTGACGTGAACGTTAATGCATCGGAGAGTTAAAAGTCTCTCTCTCTCTCTCTACATTTGCGTTCGCGTTCAAGAAAATTATTAAAATTCGAATCGCGACTTAAATCATTTGCGGCACGTCGCCTTTTTATACGCGAACGGAGCCAATCGCCAAATTGACGCGTTAATTATGAAACGGGCAATATCGCAGCGCTGCATACGAGCGCGGAATATTGAATCGACCGCCCAATTTAACCCTTTGCGGCCCCGCTCATTCGATGAGGCAGATAGGATCAAATTATCTATTCATGTAGGAAGAATGAAATATATAGAGCGGAATACATGTGTGACAAAGCGGTTATACATTAACAATTCCCTTTATATATATATATATAACAATTTTCATTAAAATATCCAAACAGAAATAGATAATAATCGCGCGATAAACGATAACAATTATTGAATTCTATAATTACAAACTGAGGTATATTCACAACATGCACATATTATTAAAACATTTTATCTAAATACATATAATTGATTTTTCTTAAATACATGTAATTTAGCGACTATCGTCGCTCATCAACGTAACACAGTCAATAAATAATTTTATAAATTAAGTCCTCGAATAGCTGTCGATGCTCATGTTATCTGAACACATTCAGGTGGCTCGCATCGACCACATCTTTTAATGTGGTCCATTATTACAGTCGGCATTTGGATGCGAGCCAGTTTGAGGGTGCTTTTTCTCTGCTACTTTTTGGCCTCTTTTTCCAACTTCTTTTCTGCACTTCCGCTTCCATTAATATTCAAGAATATTAACGATAGACTGTAAGTCCGCATGCAAAATGTATTTTTTTTATGAAAATACCTCTTTAATGAAAGCTCAGTTGATATATATAAGTGATGTTTAAAGCGATATTTTAATACTGAATTATTCTTCTTGAATAATTTTTAACGAACAACGGTGTATCAGCGAAATATTTTACATTATTGATCGTATATATTCGCTTTTGTCTAAATATTCATTGTATTGTTATAATAGAAATATACGCTACAAAATTAAAAAATAAAAATAATCTTAATATTTTTTTAATAATTTAGTAAACTTCTGAAAGTTATTTTTATAAATAAAACTTTTATTTTTTATATGTTTTTTTTTACACACGAGCTATAACTGTAGCGAGAGATTTAATTCAAAAAGTAAACCGACAAAATTATTTACATGAATTAAATTGCCATAAAAGAAAATGGATTCGCACACAAAAAACTATAAAAATTCATTTCAATTGCGGATGAAATTATTATCGACTCGTCGTTAAATATCAAAAGCTAAACGTGACACGGACGAGAACTGTAATGTTAGCAACACGACTAAATGGATTTAATATCACGATATCAATCGCCTATAGAATTGTATTGTATAATTATTCGAAATGACAGATGTAAAATTTCAACAATATCGCTGGCGTAATATTATATCATTTTCTATTCATTAATTATTATGCGATAGATTATATCATAATAGAATAGAGAGAGTATCTATTATTTCAGTATTTTATTCGGTCCATTAAATTTAAGTAGAATCGGAAAAAATTACATATATATATTATTATGTTATATTATTTTATATATGTAGATAATCAATCGATGCATAAAAGAAATTTTTATATTACACGTAAAATAAAAGTTTTAAAAGTAACAAAGAAGCTTTTTAATAATATTTTTGAAAGATCGAAGTTATAAATTATAATTGCACAAATAAATTGCGTTTCAATTTCTCCGCGAAAATTCTCGATAATTGAAACTTTTGATAACAGTATTATCTCTGTTTAATTACAACAAAGTACCAACGTATATATATCAAAGCGCATATCGAATAATATTGTGAAGTGCTATGAAAATACAATGCGATGAGCTGCAAATTCCTTAATGATTATTGCCAACGAAAGTTAGCGCTGGGCAAATATTTCCGTAAGACCGTCGGAAGTTTAAACAATGTCGGGACTCTCTCGAAGCTTGGGACGGCGCGGAAAACGGCGTGTATGGGCAGCCGAGTATGAACAGACCGCATTCCCGCGGTCAACGAGTAGTGCGGGTCGCCGTTTGGTCAGCCATTGGATACAGTTAAACGACATTGCTCAGCACTCAAGTAATTTTCGTTCTTTTGTACACGGCTAGAGCGAGCTCGAGTTGAGCTAATCCCTCTTGTACACGAATCTCACAACTCTCTTGCAGCAAACATTTTCCACTACGATTGTGATGTGCAATATCAACTTTACGTCTCGAGGCATCCAATCCTGCCACGGTGAAATTCGAGAAAATGAGTAAAAAATTCGTTATCTCCGTGTCACAGATTAACTCCGTTTGGACAGATAATTATTTCGTTCAGAGAGATCGATGTTTCGCTTTTTCTTTTCTTTCCAACGACGTGCAAAAATCTTGTAGATCAAAAATTCACCGCGATGCAAATGGCGCGTGAATTTTTTCGATGATAGTTAATCAATTGTTGGAGAGAAATTCCGTTAATTACTTTTCCAAATGATTTACAGTTTTTTCCTTAGATGGACAGGTTCGTAAACAGAATACAAACAGAATACAACACGAGACAAAGGAATGCGATCCATCTACATGGTTCTTTCATATAATCCTGTAACACATGGTAACGTACCGCAATTCGTCCTGCGGATTACTCGCGGCGAAGATTAAACCCCGGCCATCGCGTGTGTACGATTTTCCTCCGTGTTTGCGAACCCGCCTGACTGGCAAAAGGGCAAATCCTGGAAAGTGAACAGCAAGAGGGCTTTGATACTTTGCTCGAGAAATAATTCACTGTTTCGTTCTGTGAATTGCAAATCCCGACGACAGGGCAAACATCCACCAAGGCATTGCTTGAATGAACAGGGCTTAATAATTTATAATCTCTATCAAAGCCGTATATATCTCCCTTTCGTGAAAATACCACTCGTTTCTGAGATCTTTGGCCTCTCACAGGATAGGAAAAGGCGGGAAATGACGTGGATCGCGGAACCCTCTGCGTACGACCAACCAAATCCTCTTCATGTTCTCTGTTTCCCTCTTTCCCGGTCTATCTTCATTACGCGAGGTAATCCCACGGGAACAATACGTTATTCTCTCTCGCGTGCGCGCGAATGCCGTATTAAATACATATATCAAAAAAACTTTTACCGTACTTTATTAACTCGCTTTGTGCCATTATTGAAGTCGTTCATATTTCCGCCGGGTAATCTGTTTGACAAATTGTCTGATGAGTCTCTTTGATAAAAACTCTAATAATAATAGAATTTGCTGTATATATAATCTAACATTCGAGAAAAAGGTCATTTTTACACAGCGTTTACAACGGTGTAATATTTGAGAAAAAATATTTTTTTTAAATCTCTCTCCAACATTTATACATGTATACAGATTTTTATAAATATGAGTAATCAGGTTTTTTACCATAATCAATGAATACATACTCTATATTTATTCTATATATCTTTATCAATGAAAGGGGGAGGCATATTTCACAATCATTTTAATGGATAATGAATTTTTTCTGTTTTGATTGAGCAAATGTAGCCAAAGACACTGAAGATTAATCGCATTATTTCTTATTTCTTTAATTTATAAAAGCTCTTTAGAAAATTTTAATCTACAAATAAAAAAAGCAATAAGATCTACATAAGTTCTATACTAGAAATATATTTGTGAAACGATTTATAACATAAATTATTAAAAATTATACAGAACTAAGTTCAATTCGTCGTACGTTTCGGTTGTCTTTTCCAACCTTCTTCAGCGCAATTAATAATTAAAATATTAGTATAAATTAACAATAAATTATTCTTCAATGTAAGCATTTTTTAGTATATATTCTATTCCTCACAACGTCATTATATGTAATAGTCGCGAAACAGATCTCTCGCTAATTGTTCTGTTAGGAGGTCGGTTGCGAATCTCGATAACAGCCATTGTTAATATGTAGTTAGATCGAGTAAGATGTTATATTGTGACGTGGAGGCTTACACATGTTAATAGCTCGAGGTAACAATAACGTATGAATTCTTATTTCTTATTTCTTATTTCAGAGTAGCCAGAGTGGTGTATGGACAGTAAGCGTGATTATACTGTCGATTGGCACCTGGGTTGGTAGAGTCGGGCCACGTCCAGCGGATGGGGAGCTCGCGCTTCTGACATCGCCGCGTGAGCGATTGGACACCGTTCGGCAGGTTCTTTCCGAGGTGCCTTTGATCGACGGCCACAATGACTTACCGTGGAACATCCGCAATTTCCTGCACAATCAACTGGCGAACTTCGACTTTGACAGGGACTTGCGTCAGATCGAGCCCTGGAGCAAAAGCGCTTGGAGTCAAACCGATCTGGTCAGACTGCGGGAAGGCATGGTGGGCGGTCAGGTAAATACTCTAAATACGATTGGACATTGCAGCAATCATGTAGTCCAAAATTAACTCGTCAGGCAAATGAAGCTACAATACAATAGTTTCTCTAAAAATACTCGGACCTTTAATAATGTACTCTCTCAAGCAAATGCTTATAATAGATTTTTCTTTAGAAAGAATTAGAGTTATCTTATATTTTTTAATAATGACAATGAAAAAATGTAAATTAATATTTTTAAAAAAGGATGATTATTATTAAAAGTTAAAATTGAAAAATGACTGAAAATTCTTTAATTTAAATATTTGATTGAAAATATTATTATGGATACTTGATAATATTTGTTAATATTAAGCATTAGCATGTAATTCAAGAAACGAATTATATCACTGTGCAATGTAATAAGCAATTTAGGATTATCGATCATTTCCCGGAAGCTATGCTAGAGATGACTGCTAGAGATGGGTTTCGGGTGTCGGCAATATTATGAGCGTGACGGATTGAATGCATCGATTATCGTCGCATACGAGCACTCAAGAGCTCGTTAGGTCTGAATGATGCGAGCATTAAGCGCGTGTCATGCTCGCACATACCCACACATACGCACACATACACACATATACATATATATGACATAATATACATATATAGTGATCTAATGCGTCTCCTGGCGCCAGAATATTGTCGACACTATTTTTAGCCATTTCGATAATATACTGTGTGTAATTACATATGGGGTATTATTTTTTCTATAAATTATATTATTATTTTTTATTTAGTTTTCTTTCTAAATAAAATTAAACGTTCTTTCGCTTTCTTTAAATAATAATAATAGTATACTTAAAATTTTGAAATATATGCATTCTACTCTCTATTCTACTCTATTCATCTTTCTTAATGTGTTTTCACCGCTTCTCTTTAAATATGCTGTGTGACACAATTTTCTTTTTGATAATTATTTATAACAATTTAAAAAAAAAAATACAAAAAAATAAATCTAGGTCGTTTTCTTAAAAAAAAAAGTCTAGGTAATGTCACATAAAATGTTTTTTTTTTTCAGTTTTGGGTCGCCTACGTGCCATGCGAATCTCAGCATATTAATGCGGTCCAGCTGACTCTAGAACAGGTAGATCTCATTAAAAGACTTATAGAAAAATATTCCCAGCACATGCAGTTCGCTGCATCGACAAGGGGTGAGTATTGTTCGCCGTAATGGCGAAACATACAGAACGTAAAACAACCGTTCTATAGAAGATAATTTGGTACGACCGACAACTTTATTCAATCATATTTCTAATTTTTAGAAATTTTGGAGGCTCACGGGCGAGGTAGAATAGCCTCCCTGATTGGAGTGGAGGGTGGGCATAGTCTAGGAAGTAGTTTAGCCGTTTTAAGAACGCTCTACCAGTTGGGTGTACGATACCTCACGCTGACACACACTTGCAACACACCGTGGGCGAGAAGTTCGTCGGTAGAAGACGACGATGGAGATGGTAAATTGGACGCGAGTTTGAAATAAACATCCTTTTCAGAATTAGCGGAGCTAAAACTCGCAAACTTAATCTCATAAACACTCGCAAGTACTTGAGATATCAAACAAAAGTTTGGTGGAAATCTAAAATATTTCTCTCCTCTACATTTCTCTCCAATTTCTCTTCTAATTTATGAAATATATATATCAACTTTTATTTTACATGAAATGTGTTAAAATATTTTTCTACTTAACGAAGAAATGATTATATATTGAATTAAAGATTAGATAATATATTATGATGATTATTTTGTGTTAATATTATTTAACTGATTTATCAGAGAGATATATATGTCGCAACTTTTTTATGTATAATTTCACAAAAGATACATAAAGAACGAAATAACTTTGATATATCTTCCAGGCGGAGGCCTGACGACATTCGGCAAAACGGTAGTTCAAGAAATGAATAGGCTTGGAATGCTGATAGACCTCAGCCACACTGCGAGGGCGACAATGAGAGATGCTCTTAGAGTCAGTAAAGCGCCGCTCATTTTTTCACACTCCTCAGCGTTCGCCATTTGTAATTCCTCTAGAAATGTGCCAGACGACATTCTTAAGCAGCTGGTAAGTATATACAGATACTTCTACAATCTGTAAAATTTATTCTTTATTATTTTTATTCTCTCTCTACTTCTTTTAAATAATCTGGCGTAATTTATAAAAAGATAGAAAAGAAATTCTTCGAAATTCTATGACATAGCTTTCAGAAACTAAAAAGTATGTAAAAATTATTCCAATGCAATTTATATTTTTCATATAAAATTGTATATACAATAATAGTATTCATATTTGTATGAGAACGATGAATTTCTCATCGGAAATATTTTTTACGTCAAAATTCGCAGAGTTAAATGATGATTGGCGATACAACGTGACGAAGATAAAATTAAAAATTCTTTTTGCTGTTCCTATTTTTCTCTCTTTAACTTTTTGAATGTGTAATTATCCCAAAGCGACGGCGTTAAAGTTTGAGTAGCAGCATGAAATATTTACTAGCAACGATTTCGTTCCCTATTGTCGAGTTCATTAAGAAACGCGCGGCTTGCCTCGGCTCGTTACGGGGCGAATTATCAAAGTCGAAAATTAACGGCACCGAGTCGATGGTATGGAATACGATACCATGTTAACGAGGTCTCCTTTTTCGTCGATTTTCTATCGATTCCTCTGTCGTTTCGTACTCGTTTCGTTTCCGGGGCAAAGGCACAACCAGGTTACAGCTTTCCCTGTGCATCGACGGAAAATTAGGTGTTACACGGGCTTTCATCGGGCTGGTCTGGCTTGAAATTCCCGGTGCGGCAGCGCGAAGCACGTTCAAATCCTGGAACGTTGGAATTACGGGCTCTTCTTTATACCATCACGTGCTTGTTTCCAGGCTGATAACGGCGGGCTGGTGATGGTCACGTTTTACAATTATTTCGTGAAATGCGGGCCTCAAGCTAGTGTCTCGGACGTGGCCGAGCACATATACTACATTAGAAACCTGATCGGCGTGGACCATATCGGAGTCGGCGGGGATTTCGATGGCATCAACAAGTATGTCGAAAATGTGGAATTAATTATGAGAGAATAATTTCAGAATAAATACCATATCTCTGATCTCCTCGAATCATTTGCATGTAATAGTGCTCCGAAAATTATTTAAGCTGGAATTAAATTGTCATATTACGATAATCATAGAGTTCTTCGAAGAAAGTTGATCTATAGATTAATTTTTAACTGAATCGTGTATTCTTTTGTACTTAATAAGTTGTTTAAAAAAACATATAATTAAAAAATCTTTTTCTTTATAGAACCCCTCGTGGTCTTGAGGACGTTTCGAAATATCCCGAACTGTTTTCCGAACTTCTCCGTAGTGGCAAATGGAATGTACTTGATCTAAAGAAAGTCGCCGGCTTGAATTTACTACGAGTTCTCACACAGGTTAGAGTCGATTAAAGTCTGAGGTACAGTTGTATATGCATGCTGTGGCGTCCTGACATGCCTTAATACTGCCATAATTCTGTCGTAGCAATGCATGCTGCTACGTTTCACAACTTTACACGATTACTCCATGTTTCACAGTTATATAGTCATAAATTGTTCTCCATAAATATTTGACAAAAGGCAAGACTGATGATAACAAATTTTCATCGCGCTCATGTGTTTATCATAACATATCATATTTCTCTCTTCTACTCCGTAATATCTTTAACAATAAAAATAAGATGAGAAACAATATTTTCTTAAATAAATCTAAATCGTTAATAACAATAGTTTTATAAAATATTAATATTATAAATATATTATATATATGACGATAATATTAATAAATGAAACTGTTGCACCAGGTAGAACGTGTGAGGGATGAAATGAGAACAGCTGGAATCACGCCGTCCGAGGAGTATCTTTCAGATTCGCCGGACACGATCGGCAATTGTGCTCTGGATATTAATTCCGTGCAGAGGGTCACGGAAATCTGATCGATCGGTTACTCGACGACATGCGAATTAATCTTATGTGTGTACGCGCCGTGTTTGGCGTGGATTGGTACGGTCAAGTGCTATCTCCGGCCGCAATCGGGGCACACGATAGCACCAGCTCAAAGCGAAAATTCAATTATCTCGATTACACTGCGACCTGTACGCTCGCAAAAGTTCTTCGAACCTCGTGTGCGGATGCTCAATTAAACATCGTCGACATTTGCAAAGGCTCAAAATAAACCTACCTCGATACCTGTCTTACGAAGGCGACGAGCAAATATTGATTATGTTTTATTTAAAGGAAATATCGCGTTCCCACGCGGCCGATGTATAAGATGTTGTTAGAGAGATTAACATTGTGTCAGCAAATATTTCTAATTATTAGCAAGGGTTTATTGTAAATTTGTAGCTTTTCGTATTTACAAAAATTAGGTAAATTTTTTAATTTGATATTAATCATTATTTAACTAAATATAAATTTCGACACACTTATATCACGCCTTTTTTATTATATAGCGGCTACGACTATGAAATTCATAAATTAAATTATTAATTGTAAAATAATATGCTCGTCGTCGTAAAACTATCTGTAACACACAGACAGTTTTTTTCTATTCAGTACCAGCACCGGTACTAATGAGTCGTTGACACGCTGATTATTTTACTGTAAGATATTTACTATTCTACTGTGAGTCTTCACGACCATATGTAAATATCTGAACGGTATGCGGAACGCCATCCAATATTCGCGTGAAGAGAAAGCGTCATCGCGACTAAACTTTCTGAACTTTGATGTCTTCCTCTCTTGGAAACGATCGTAATATGTGTGTGAAACTATGAACCCCGGCTGTATACCTTTCAACGTCTTCCTTCCCCTCATTGCACCGACGAAAACACGTACTCCATAAGGTGTTTATAGAAGAAGTGTTTATAGATGAAGGAATCGACGTCGTGTTTCTACGAGCAGCTTCATAAAATTTAACAAAATTCTCTGTGAAATTTCTTTTGCATATGTATAGACACTTTTTATTTATCGTAGCTCAAACTTAAAAGTTTGTGTGTCTCTATTAATATAATAAATCATGTTATATTTTATTTTCAAGATTTTATTTATATTTATATTTATATATAATGTATAGATATTTTTAAAATCTATTTTTGTTCCACAAATAATATATTATTTGAGAATGTTATTTATATTTTTACATAAAAAAGTCAGAGTATTTTATCAATGTTTTAAAATATTTAAAATATCTTGTTATAACTTTTTTTATGTATAGGATTACATTTTTAGATTTTATTTTTCGAGTCACTTAAATGACTCCACAATTTAGAATTAATACGTAAAACTTGTTTATCCTTTTTGCAATTATTTTATTTTATTTTAAAAATATAATATATATATAATTTAAAAAAATAAATATATTTTAGGATCAGCTTACCAACATTATCTCAACAACTCTCTGAAAATCATGAAGGTACCAAAAAACCGCAATACTCCTAAATGATTAAAATCGCCGATAAATGTGAATTATATAATTCCGTATCTGCTAGTCTTAAACTTAAACTTGCACATATCACGAGATGTTACTCTGTATTTTGTACAGTGAGAGCCATTCTAGTTTTGCACAAATTTCGCTTCGTATGAGAAGAGAGACAACGCTCGGAGTGATATTTATTAGATCATCAAGATCCATTGAAATTCGACATGTATTGCTCGCAGTGACAAGTGTCGATAATTACTTGATTGATACGAACGTACGTGTTTTTTCGACGCATTATATCGAATATGTTGCGATCTACCATTGAAGGTAGTCTTCTTGATCAAAGCATCATCTAAAGTCTTCGACGGGACGTTTGAGATTGCCAGAAACGATTGACGAATGTCATGGACAAAGACGTTTTCTTTTTCTTCTCGTCAATTCGTTCCCGGTAATCTTCACATATCGCCGTCCACCTATCTGTGTCTCGTGTGCACTTATTATATAATTCGCGCAGGACGAATCCTTAATTGGAATCGTGCGTGAGAAATTCGAGTCGGAGACTCGATATACACAAGGAATTAATCAACTTGCGCGGATTATACCTCACTCCGCCATTGGAGGTAGGCGATAAATTATAGGATATCAAAAGTTCCGTTGTATCTCTCGAATGAATTCTATATGAATAAATGTTTCTATTGTAAGTGTGTTTGCTATATTTCTTTCTCTCCGATACACACGTGGCCAAAATATTTAATAAGCATATATGTATGTATATAAACATGTTTCAGCGATTTTTGTTATCGAATAATACGGTAATTCTCAATTCCAGATAGAATAACATGCTCTTAATATTTTTATAATTAAAGGAAAGATTTTATATTATACTTACGTTTAATTTTATGTATCAGAAAGAGCATAATTTATCGAATAAGTTAAATACGCGCATCAAATGGAAGATATGCAGAAACTATGTAAAATAAACTTAATTTTATTGGCCAATTGCGATATTCTCTTACAAAAAAAAACGACGTATCATACATCCTTGATAATATAATAATTACGTAAGGAAATGATGATCAATGCGGTAATGTAAAAAACAATGATATTATTTTATATATATCTCTATATATAATATATACAAAATATAAAATATTCGATAGGCACAATTGCTAACCGTTAATATGGCTAAAACTTATGTCTAATGTTGAAATGAAGAGAATGTTATTTACAGACGATTCACAAGGTACACATTGATCTACGCTGACTGATATTTCAACACATCAGAGACGATCTCAGCCACTGTAAGCAATTTAATATATTTTTAGTTTGTACATATAAGCATAGAGAAACAGGAAATGTTATATATTCTTCTTAAAATTTATATATACCTCTGATAAACTTAATTTTATCGTTCCATTTTGTAAGGGATCTTTGCTCTCGAAAATTCCTAAATAAATGTAAGAATAAAATTTTTATTAATATAAATTATGCGAATAAACTGGAAAATTTTCTGATAATCTAGCTTCTGATAACGTACCAAATGCGTCGCTCAAATGTAATATCGCCGAAACGAAGTCGCCGAATCGAAGAGTTCCGTCTTTCCTCATGTATCGAAGAATCAAGATGGATAATACGTCCGTGTTTAATTGGAAACCTAAGTTAGAGAAGTCTTCGTTGTACATGAGCAAGTAAAATAGAATGTTTTCTTCATACACAACACCGTGTATGTACATTACATTTTTTTCTTTTACGTACCAACTTCCAACAGTGCATCTCGTAGTCTCTCCGCTTTGAGTATACCCGTCTTTTCCTTCGTGTGATTCTTAAATGCAGCTTGCCAATACTTTAAACTGCACATTAGATCTTTGAAGTCGTTGAACTTTAGTCGGCCGCTTCCGGAACTCTGTTTATCGGCATAGAAATTATAAGGAAAAATATTGCTCTTATTTCTGTATCTTAACATTCAAATATATGATGAATTGATAGACAAAATTTTATCTAAATTTCCGATAAAATATACTCGACTTGCACACTCATTTTATTCAATTATTTGAGCATACAACTACATTTTAATATCAAATATTTATTAAATACATTTATAGATAAATTGCACATTTACGTTTTATATAGTATTGAGAAAAATGTTTGATATAAATTGGGAATAATTTTTAAGAAATTCATTCAATTTAAATTTTTATCGAAAGGATACATCCATAGTTAGTACTACTTGTCGACAGACTTCCATACAGGCACAACTTTTGATGTAATCTGAAAATTAAAGAGGGAAACTCTTATTTAGATTAGCATTTGATTTTAGTGCATTTTGCTTAATAAAACTTTCTATATCTCTTAGAATGGAAAAACGATGAATTGCGTACCATTTGGTAAACAGGCTTCTAGAAGTTCCTGCAATTCGAAAGCGTTTACGGTTCTATGTTCATCGGCAAGCTGCAGAAATACGGCTTCGTATTGAGAGAAACCCTTGCCTTCCAGTGGAGGCGCCTTGACGATTGCCGATTTCATTAAGGATGGTGGTGTATCTAATAATCTAAAATATAAAAAAATAATACATAAATATAAAAAAGATTGTATCAATCATTCTTTAATTCTAAATGTAAAATTGATTTAAACTCGATAATTAAAGAACGAAATGTTACGCATTTCAGATTCTAAATATCGTAAAAAAATATTTAACGATAAAACATTTATGCAATATGTACTTAAATACCATAAAAATTATATAAAAATGAAAAAAAGAAACACTAATCGAAAATACTCAAGAATAACGAATAAATTTTCGCGGATAAAATTTTCAATTTATTGCGTTTCACAAAAGAATGTATGCCTCGGAGAGACGACTTAAATGCATTCTTTGAAATATGGTCGAAAGAAGATGTTAAAACCATAATTGAAGGTGAACGAGAGTCGTATAGCATATGCTTACATGAGTTAATGTATGTTGCACATACATTAAATGTACCGACCATACGATCCTTTGTGAGCGCGTATATGACATCGGTAAATGCGCGCATGTACCTACTTGAGTTTTAGGGGCTTACTACTGTAGACTCGTAACGTAAAACTCGTTTCTTGAGTCGGCTCGAAGGTCGTAGGCACCAACAAATAACCACCCTGCTCGAGCTGACACCTGTGGCTCACCTGCCGACTATTCGTGTACTGGGAATTAACTAAGGACTTGTTTTTCTTAAAAAACTGTTTGTTTATCGACTCGGTGCTGTTCTTCGGCAACGTGTACGCTGTGAAGCCGATCACCTTAAAACGGCAAAAGTTTCATGAGTTCATCCGAGAAGGGAACGTGTTAATCGTATGTTTTTTGGTAAGTAAAATTATCTTACTTTTGGCTCCATAATAGAATGTTGATTTAACGAAACGATCACTTCTTCCATCTCACTTAAAATAAGATGCAATTGTGGATTTATATGAAAAGTTTCTGTAAACAACAATTTTATTGTACATATTTTATATATAAAATATCCTACATACAATTTAATTCAATTTAAAGTAAATAGGATTATAATCAAACCTTGATTATTTCGACATCCTCCTGCGGTGACGCCTCTTCTCCAGCTTCCCTGATATAATTTCATTTGCCAAGTGTGTTTGCTGTGTAACGATGGTTCGTCTCTCGAAGTTTCAGCATCTAGATGCACTACTTCCAGATGAGTGAATGTCTTAACGAAATCGGAATATGATATCCTGAACACCGTAAAATATACATAAAAATTTAATTTAGAAAAATCTATACATATATTCGAGATATTTAATTTCAAAAAAAAGATTACTGCAATGTATATATATATATATCTAAAATAAAAGATGAGGCATACAAATTCTTTATATCTTATAACTGTAACTAATTTTTTTGATATCATATAATTTGCAATATAAATTACAATTTTTCGCTTATTTACCAAAATTCTCCTTCAGCCATATTTCTTACAGCTAATCGTTCCCTTTCCATTACAGGTACTTCGTCCCATTCCAAGCCACCTCTCGCCCAGGCACCAACATATTCTCCACCAGGTCCAAGAGGATTCCTCAATTTTACTAATTGCACAGCTTCCCCTCCGAATGTCTCTACCTATACAGCATCAGGATCAATATACATACTTTTCTTAACTTTCTTTTATTATCGCTTGTATTTCTATAATTTATGCCGTTGAAGAATACGACTATCGTCGATATACTAACCCTTTCAATAGCATACAATCTATAATTGATTCCCATTTGTATGCCATTAGCGAGCTTCTCCGTGCTGGCACGTATCTACGATAAAAGTACGCGCGTGAGCAAAGTGTTGAGAAGAACCTGTGCTCCATATTTGAAACGTCTTCTACCTGTTGCTGTTGATTATTATTTACTGTACACGTGATGAGAGACGTCATGTCCAGAAGTTTCGACAATGCTCGTCCGCAGGCTGTGGGATCCTGACGAATCGCGATGCTTTCGGTAATACCACCCGTGAGATCGGACAAACCATCCAGTAATGTGCCGTACTTGAGCGCCTCGTAAGAACCGTGAAGTCTGAAGAAAATTTTAATGGCATCAAAATTATTTTACAAGTTGAAACGTAGCGACGATTTGTCACTTGCAACACTAGTAATCATTGGAAGTGGAACTGGAATTTCACGTTAGTAATAACATATTTAATAGAATATGTCAGAAAAATATTAAGTTCTCTCTATAAAATAATTTTGATAAATATTTCTTGAGATTAAATATTTATAAAATATCTATACAATTGTTAAGAATTTTTATAACAAATAACACACTCAAGAGTTTCTTAAATAGCTCATGTCAGTCTATACTTAATCTTTCCTTCTCAAGTGTGCTACTTATTGTTAGACCACCTAAGATGTAAGAATTATAAATGATCAGCTACATAAATAAATTACAAAAAAATAATTGTCGATCTTCAGCAATAAATGACGTGCATTAATCATAATAAAATTGCCGTTTATCAGCCTTGAATATATCGTGACGGTAAGAGCGATTGGTATTTTCTCACACTACGTACGTACTTAGTACTACGGAGAAAACACGAGATGTGGACTTTCTTAATCGCTGGATGAGGGAAAGCGGATGACTAGAATTTTTTTCATCTATGACCTCTCGATGCTGACAAGGTATACACCACGCACTATTAGATACTAGGTTTTATATAGACTGGCACCGCTTTCAAATCAAATCAATCTTCTAAATTAAAATCTAAATATGGTAATATCGTATTCACTGACTTTCAACTAAAAATATTTACATAAAATTGTTGATTGAAAATTTTACCTAAGAGTAAATTGCTGAAATCGTAATTTCTCCGTTATTATTATAAATATTTCCAGCAAATATCTAACGTAATTTAATATCAATCAATGATAAAATATCACACTCAACATTTATACTCAAGAAATATAATAACTTATATATACACATCTAATGAAAAACAATATTTAATGAAGTTTCGCGATTTTTATTTTTTTTATTTATGGCAAACTTAAAATATATATTGATGCTCGATACTGTTAGATATTATTTTTATTTCACATATTTAATAAATTGTATCTAATATTTATTTAAAATTCTCTTAATAGACCCTAAGAAAGCAGAATACATCTTTTAATGAATAATCGCGAAATTTTATAAAAATATATATATTTCTAAAAATATAATTATATTTATATCGTACAACGAATACCTATACTTGTACTAAAAATATTCCATGCAAAAAAATTCGAAGAGGAATATAATTTTATTGACTTTTTACAGTCCCTGTTCTAGCAATAATCTCTTGTAACGATAACAAAGCTTTCAATATAAAATCCGATGAAAAGTATAATTGGTATTTTATGCGAGATCATTCCTGACCTATACAACGCGCGAATAAAAAAGGAGGGTGGAATGAATAAAGAGAAGAAGAAGAAAAAGGTCATGAAGATCCTCGACGGAGCAGTCGGAACTCGAAGTAGAATTAAGGGAGTAGAGACGATATTATCTTCCTTGCATGTGCCGTTCCTACAGGAATTAGCATTCCGGAGATAACGGGGCTCGCGCTTCCTTTCAGACATCGTCGACGCCTCTTCTTTATTAACGCACGTGCGGTTTGCGCGCGATTCGAGTCAATTTAGAAACCGTAACCATTCACACGCATGATCGAGACGCGTTACCTGGGTATTTTCTCAAGGAAAACATACGTAACGCCTGTGGAAGAAAATGATCGCATAAGTGGATCGGTATTACAATCAATTCGCTTTTCTCTACCTCATAAAACTGTAAAGTCAGCAAAGTTTGTTACCCAAATGATTGATTGTACACCAATGATTTAAAGAAAATAATCACCAAACGATTGATCGAAGTTATATCAATCAAAATTAATCATTAATCTTTCACATAAATATGATAAATAGTAAATACATGCATGATACATATATAAAATAAAATTTAATGTGATAAAACAGAATAAAGATATAATTACTATGAAACCTTAAATATTATGCAATAAATTTTTGATAACTTAATACACACATTAAGAGATGAAAGAAATGAACAAAAAATTCGATCAATCTCTAAAATTCTTCAAGAAATTTGTAATCAGAAGATACGAGAATTAATCTCTATGAAATATAATTGCGATTAATGTAATAATCCCGATTAAATAGATTGAAGATTGAAATTGGCAGAATCGCATTCGAGAAACGATCGATTGAAAATTATTGATCGAACTAAGAGCGATGCCACGTCGTTCGACACTTTACCACCGATTTGATACAAATCTGAAGCGCGTATCATCGCAAACGCTGTTAATTGCTGCTCAACAAGCACGACCGAAGTGTTCACCTTTAGCCAATGTGGAGAATCAACATGAACAAGACTTCCGCAGAGAGGTCATCGTACCTTCCGTAGGCGCTACACCGCGGTCTCTATGTAACTCTACTGCTGTCACTTTGTTACTCAACGGTAAGCAGTACGCTTGTCTGTTGATGCACTTCCGTTCCGCGTTTGTCTAACGGAGCGATGCAATCGCACGCGTGTACGCAACGTCATTGTCACCGTTGCTTCGCTCCATTACCAATCACTACGTCATAATCAATTGTTTTTCGTTATATACTCGTACTCGTTACATCTTACTCGCAGTAGCAAGTCCTCAAGATTGTTGCGTGACTAGATAATAATGTATAAAATTGCTTATCTCTCGCTCGTGCGAAATTAGAATTTTAAAGGAAACTCAGATAATCTACCCTTCTTTACGCTTTATTTATTATGCATTTATAAAATAATAAATATGTTTTATATCTCTATAATAATTTGATTCACTTTCTTTTCTTTATAAGTTTGAAAAGTCTCTCAGGATTTATATTTTATTAAATTTATTAATTAACTAATTAATAAGAGGGTGCAAATATAACTGCATTAACACTAGAATGTGAATATAATAATGCGCAACAAAATGTTAAAGATTGTTTGACGCAGGTGTAAAATAAATGAGAAGCAGTATAATAATTAAAAACAGGAAGCGCGCGATACTCTTAATAAGAAACGAAAAAAATGACAGCAAAATGTTGATCGACCGGTTACAAACGTGCTACGTATCTACGATCGAGATGAATATCATTAATCGGACACGTAGTCGTGTTACGCATTTCACGACACGAGAACAACGATTGCAAGTTTCATTTCTCGATCGACAGCCTCTCGCGTTCGCGCCTGCCGGACCAATCTCGATCTAATTTCCCTTACATAAGTCGCGTATCTCCGTCGCGTAGAAAGCGGCGAATCGAGAGAGGTGACTCGACTCTCTCGGTAAATCTGGCGTGTATGACTCGGCGTGATTTTAACATACACACGAACATGCGAACAGATCTTAATGATATCGAGTTTCGAATGAAGCTAAATGGATTTGTAATCGTCCTCTGCGCCGGCGAGCGTCGTCCACCTTCGGAATATCATCGGCATGTGTGTGTGTGTTTTCGCGGTCGTTTCGCGCCGATACGACTGCGTGGACCGTACGTGGTCACCGGTGCACTGACCTCCGATCCATTGCTGGCAACCGGTGATACCGACTACTTGCCGAGTGAAAGTATCCGGAGTCTGTGTGCTCGCCTATACAACGTATGTACCGCGAGTCACGCATGTCCACCACGTACAGCCAAATATCTCTGCCTGATTTCTTTTCAGGTCGAATGTCTTCGACGCGAGTTAAAAAGACGAGATGTTTATCGAGAATCGCCGCGGAAAATTATATGTATATTGTATACATATATATGCGAAAGTATTAGTAGAGTTTCATGGGGGAATTTCATTCTTTTCGTATAATAATTTTTTTACAAGAATAAAATGGTGTAAAACTGTAAAGTACACTTTCAACAGGTGGAAAAGTTAGATTTAGAAATGCTGAGAGTTTACTTTCTTGATTTAATTCATTGATCGTTAATAATAATATTTGTTCTTACGTAAGAAAGAAATATAAAACTAGTTTATTAAATCAGAATAAACATGGAATTTTGCTTCGCTTAAAGTTATATACACTAAAAAATTATGCAATTTAGATATTTTTTGACATAATTTATGAACTTTAAAATAATATATATTTTTGTAATATTTGTAGCTCAATCTAATCATTACAATCGATAAATTTGCTATTAACATAAGTAGAACGATATAAAAAGTTATGAAATTATACATAAAATTAATTAATTTAATATGTACATACATTTCGTTTTTTTTATTTTTATCAAAATATAATTTCATAATAAAACCTTTTAATTAGAAACATATATACATGAAATGTTTTATGGAAACCAATCACTTTTACTGCGATATTCTCGAAATGATAATACGGTAAATAATTTTCCATTTCATGAACATGTTCGTGCGATTTGGTATTTTCCAACATGACAACACTTTCTAACGAATAAAATGTATGAACGAACGAACGTGAGAGACATGAGCCTAGCAAGATCCTAGAAACGCCAGGCGGTTTTCTAATGGAAATCGACGAGAAGGCATGTTGCGCATACTGCTTGTATACATATATTGGCATGCGAAGAGGCTTTCTAACCGATTTTCAATGCCGCTACTGATTCAATAAAGCCGATCAGCCAGGATCAATCGGATTTTCCAACGTGAGGTCATCGCGACAGAGGAAAAGATCAGCAAAACCTTCTCCTTTCTTTTTATCTTCTTTGATCTTTCAACCGACACGTAAATGTTTAACGTTATTGAAATACCTATGGAGTCTCATGACTACCAAATACGGCTACATTTATTTGAAAGTATGGTGAAAATACAATTATAAATTTTAAAAATTTCTCCAATATAATTATAATATTCTCTAAGGAAACCAGATTTATATATATATATATATATATATATTTCGTATTTTAATAGTTTGTATATGCTAATCTGTTAGTTGCGTGAAGATCTAATGTAGATCACAAGTAAAGGGTTAGACTGAAATTGTATTATTCAGGTAATCACCTACACACGACGTATTTAATAATTATTCCCTGTAATCACTAGAATCATGTCGTATAATTTTTCATCGTAAAATCTATCAAACGTACACATGATGCGATATTTCCTGACCCTCGCACACGTTGCACGATAAATATTATCACGCTGAGCTTATCATGCGTGCATAACTTCCCTACGAGTAGTAAATACTGCAACACTCGTGTGTAGGATCACTCATAATATTCCATCATCGAGCAATCATCATCGTAATCGTAATTACGATCATTGCTCGCAGTAGGAAATCACATTACCGCATGTAAAATTATTTTAGCAACTTTTCAAGTTGCTTACGATCGGAGTTACATCATTAATTAGCAGCTGTACATTCCGATACTGACGCGAGCGGAAGTTGTCGGGAATCTGCAGCGTGCAATTAATTATTAATGAGCCACGACCTCGATGCATCTTCGTAGCTATAGCGTAACAATAACATAGAAATATAAAAATTAAATAAATATCAATTTGCTTCATAAAAATTTGTGCTGTATACAATTCACAAAAATCAGATGTGAATTGTACGTGGTAAGTATATGCATTTTTTATTTTTTAAAATTAGAAATATATTATTCGTTAATAAGAAATTTACACTACGAAGATAAAAAATAATAAGCTTTTAGATTTTTTTTATTTGAGATTTAATATAAAATAATAATATGTTTACGAAAGTAATTTGGGTAAGAAAGTTTACATGGTTAATGCATTCTTGCATGCATATCTCTTGAGAAGCTAACATAATTTTTTCCGCTCGAAACCCGTCATTGTCTTGTTCTGCTTTCTCCAAGAGAACCAAGCGCAGTCACGTCAATCTTTCGTTACGCACGTGTATCCAGTATTATGACGCAAAAGTGGCGCGTTTGATGATGAAATTATAGCAAAGTATGTTCACGGTTGTTGACCGGGAGCATATCATGTCTACCAGGTATGGTGTTTTATTAGACGCCGAGATCTATACGGATCAATGTTATTTAGATAAATACTATTATATCCTTAGCGTGCTCTTTATAGAAAGCAGCAAATCTTTTTCCATTTCAGATACTTACGTACATAATCTTTCTCAAGCGTAACAAAAACACACACGCCACACATATTCATAAAGCTCATTATTATTTAAATAGCTAGAGTGTAAAATTTGCGTTAAGTTATACTAAAATTAAGAACTTGTTAATACCTTCTATATTTAATAATTGCTTGATTTTTCAACAGCGTATATATATATATATAAACATTGCATATAGTTTGATTCGATAAAACTGTAATTTATGATTTTTTAATTAGTATTACACATAGAAAATATTTCATATTACTTATTATTCTTTTCTTGATAAATAAAGATTATAAAGTAAAAAGAATAATATATCCATATTTTATGATTATACACTTTTATCTAACGCACAGGAATATTATTTTTGTAAGACAACATGATATTCTTAGAATAATAATTTCTTTCCATGTATATACATATGCACGTGGGGAAAACCATTATCCTTTGTTTCGTCGAAATAAATATTATCTGAAGCTATAATAGACAAATCAAGATAAATATCATGAAGGAGTATAGAAATGCAATAATAAAATTTTTGTGAAACGCGACATATAATTATATGCAAGATAATTGTTCCTCAATCGCTGTTCCTTCTTTTATCCAGGAAAGCGAGGGACGAAATTATCTTTCTTTCAACGCCACCACCTTGCAAGCAGTTTCGAGAGCAACGCCCAAGTGAGGTTCATACGTGATGGTGCAAGAAATCGAGAGAGAGAGAGCGAGACAGGACGAGAGAAGAAAGAGAAGAAAGAAGAAAATAAAGAGAAAGACAGAGAATGTGTGTGCAAGACGGGGATAACGAGGGAAAGGAGACGGTAAAGAGTAGGGGGTCATCAGAGGAAGATTAAGAAGAGGAGCAAGGACCTCCGGCAGAACGGTCATCGTCGTTCGGCCGTCCGCGTAAACCCATCTTCCATCTCGTGGCGAGAGATCGCGCGCCTCGATTGCCTCGGCCTCGCGAGATGAAGTCGCGAGATGAAGTTCCTGTCCGTCCTCCGGACGGACGCTCGACTTCTGCTCCTCGCTTTTCAACTTGCACGACGAGCGAAGCGTATACCGTTTATCCTTGCGATGCATTCTGCATCATCATGAGTTCGATACGTGCTAAATATCGCTTCTCGACAAGCGTTCATCACTCAGATCATTTCGAGCGAAATTATTATGTACAAACCAGGGCGATAAACTCTCTCAAACTGTCAGTTAATATTGCCTTTGCAATCACTTTTTTTCATTTATTTAATTATAATATTAATAATAATGTATCGATTATTTGATAGATGCAGCCGTTTATCCTTGCATTCTGCATCATCATGAGTTCGGTACGTGCTAAATATTGCTTCTCAACAAGCGTTCATCACTCAGATCATTTCGAGCGAAATTATGTGTACAACCCAGCGCGATAAACTCTCTCAAACTATCAATTAATATTGCCTTTGCATCTCTTTTCTTCATTTATTTAATTATACACAATTGATAATAATGTCTCGATTATTTTATAGACGTAGCAATAAGATGGTTTCATTGGTCCAGCTTTTTGTACGGTCAAGCAAATGTTATATGCGCTTAAAGGTGGGCTAAATTTAGAAATTATCTTGGAGCAGGCTAGCCGGCGCCAGCCTATCGGTCCATCCGCACTCGCAATCTCGCGTATACTACACCCGCGGCGATGGCGATCGAAGTTCATCGATCGAACATACCGAGGTCGATCTTCGCACGCGAATTCACCTTGAACGGCCACCTGGTGGACGCCTACGCCGCCCACGGCAGTTCGCCATTCGTCTCAAAGTGGCTCGAAAACTATCCGGCATAAAGCGAGAACACGTATCTCGTTTTTCCATGTCCATGCACGATCTCCAAGCGAAGCAAGATCAAAGATTACGGATTTATCGACGAATATTGTAACTTGTGGTCTGAACTGGATAATTGGAAAATTTCAATGTAATTTTCTTGTCACAGAGTCATTTAAAACGCACGTTGATAAAATTCTTGGAAAGTATCTGTAGAAACTGAAAGTGTCATCGACCCATCTTACATGTTTTATTAGGGTCAATAAAAAGTGTTTTATATACTTTTAAATACGATCTTCCTGACTTATAATCTATCCCTATCTGTTCGAAGTTCGAACGTAAAAAGAAGAAAAAACTCACTTGGCGTACGCTTTCTCCAGCAATGCCGGCCAGAACTGATCACTATGGCGACTCTGCACGAAGGCCAGTCTTCCATGAACCGCCGGTAATCTATCGTCGACGAGAACTTCCACCCACGCGCCACACCACCACAATCGAAACCTAAACACTCCGGCGTATTCTGCGGTCGGCGAGCCCGGAGGTTCTCCACCGCTGCCGAATCCTTGGTCGGCTGGTACCACCCTGTAGAATAGACCCTTGCTAAGGTGTAGCACGCCCAAACACGATACCAGCCACTTATCACCTATTAACAAAACAATGATATTCTGGTAAAAGTTCTATTTGTAATTATATAAATGTTTCACGAAATTGGAGTTTTGTCTTAAGAAATTCTTAAATAAAGAAAGAGAGAAAAATTAATTCAAATTATTAAGATATTTATAATATGTTTGCGGTATTTGCTTGAGGCTACTTGCTTTATTTATTAAATCATTTTAACAGAAGCTCAATGTCTTAATAAAAAATGTGAAGATCATATAAAATTTTGTAAACTATAAGTAATTCTATGGATAAGAAAAATTTTAAACGTTTCAAAGAATCATTAATATATCTGTATATTTACGCTTAATTTTATTTTAAAGTGATGATGTTATCTTTCTATTATTAAATTTTTAATGAATGTGTAATTATAACATTTATCTACAAGCAAAGGAAGGGGAGGACTAATTAAGAGCCAAATGCAATTAACGATGCGTAAATTATATTCTTCTTGTGATATCATTTATTTTAACATATTTTATCAATAAAAATCAGTTTCTTTTTAAAGATTGATAAGCTTCTTCATAAAAAATTAAATGATTCCGTAATGTTCATCAAACGTGTCGTAAGAACATAACGTTGTGAGAAATTGTGTAGGATCTAAGAGCGACACTGCTCTCTATCTCGTTACATTCACTCACTTCACTTTCGTTTTCGAAGGTCTAATCGCTGATCGAGCGCTCGCTTTTACCAACTTTTTGTTACTCCAAACAAGAGAGGAAAAGAAAATAAGAATAAACTGCTCAAACATATTGCCTACTTTCAATAATAATTCTCGTGATACGTTTTCATTAGCTTCTAGAGAAAAATTTATTAAAACAAACATAAATTATGACAATTGAATCTTGCCATAAATCTTTTGACTAATCTAAATTACTTAATAATTCAATATGCTTATATTAAGTAGTTTAGATTAATAAAGAATATATATTTTATAAAAGATATTAAATATAATTAATAATCGTTTAAATTTTAAGAAAATATACATTTTATTAAGGAATTTATCTTATTATTATGCAAAATAATAATTTTCTTAATATGTTATTTCTTCACTCAATATATTGCATTTCACTCAAGGTATGCTGGAAATGTCTCTCAACTTTGATTAAATTGATGGGATTGATCAGAAAGCGGGCGTGTCGACACGCGAGGCTGCAAAGATGAATCGCCAAATTTTACGATGTCGCAATATAGGTCGATGTGAAATTATTACATGTCGCCATTCTGCCTGACTGTGCGTGCCTGTTGCGTATATACGCGTTAACGGGACAAGTCGCGCACGCTACAGCGAACGCAGTTATATCTTCAGGAATGCGCCCGCATAGCTTATTCGAGGGCGCTCGACTTCCGGTGGCGCGATGCAACACTCGTGAATTATTATACCTGCGAAGCTACGGGAGGGGATTATGTCGCAGAGCGTTTCATGGTGCATTATAACTCGCATAGTCCGATGTAAAGTCGTATTCCGTTTTAATTTCCTCAGTCGGATTTGTGAATGTCCGAAGAGAGAGAAAAAATTTAAAAAGCAAGCAAGATCGCTGCTGCAATATATTACAATAAACAGCGAGCATATTTCACTTCTTAATGGGATAAAAATATAACGCAAAACCTGTAACAGTAATTATATACGTAATAATTATATAATTATAAAAAAGAAAAACAAAAATCTTGTACAAGATAAATTACATATGTATTTTTGCACACACATTATTATTTTTTATTAAATAGTATGATTCAAAAGAAATAGTAAATCATAAATAATTTTGCATTTAATGCACTCAAATTGCGCCTGAAAATAAATAGAGAATGCTTTAAAAGATGTAAAAGTTTGTAATGATAATTACAATGTTAGTATTCAATCACAAAAACTTCACATTTGCTCAATCTGTTGCTAGTATTGAGCTGTGCTTTCAATCTGTGCTAATATTGAGCTAAAAATTAGTTTGATTTTTGTCTCTATAGAAATCGAGATACGCGCAATATCTGATTATATTCACTACTTCGTTCTATAATCTTATTCCGGCATTTATAATCACAAGGAAATCACTTTAACGTTTGATACGATACGTAACATTTAATAAGTGTTACTATTTTCATGATTTAGCAATTAACAGCGTAATAAGTTTTCGAGTAAACTGCGTGTTCAAGAATCTAGCACAAAACGTACAACTTTCTAATTTAATACATGTAAAGTTTCTTGAATGATTTTATCAAATATTATATTTAGAGAATCTATAATTACAAGACCGTAAATTTTGATATATAATTATATTGTTAATATATGTAATTGTTACAAATGCTAATTAGCAATTAATTATCTATTGCATATTAAGTTATATTTTTGTAATACAGTTAATTAATATTTAATTATTAATATAATACAGTTAATTAATATGTAATTATTATGTCTTTAATTATAGTATTTAACTGTAATATTCGGCAGTCACAAAGTAACATCAACTGTAACTGTTCTTTAATTACCTAATTGATAACATCTACAACTGCAATTATTACTCACGTACAGCTAACGTGTAATATATAAATATCAACGGTTTTACGTTTACGTTTTTACGTCACTGTATTACTTTTCTTCTGTACTTACAGAAATAATTTCTTAGAACATCTACAAATGTATCAAGAAAATATTTAATCCTTTTTATTCGATGATACATTTTACAGAAAAACTTGTTTAACCGTTAATGATAATGTTATTTTATGTGTATTTATTATTGCAAAAAATTTGAAGAGAGTCTTTGTACATAGCAATTTTCGAAGCGACAGAATATTTTCTAAATATTTATTTTCCAGAATCGCATAAAAAGAAATATAACAACTTCAATCTGTATCGTTCATAAAAACGATTACTGTTACTTCTTACGTTCATCAAAAGTCAATGAAGTAATTTCAGGATTCATGACATATTTCAATCGTGAATGAGAATCTCCAGTTTTCTTTGAATCGAGATATCATGTCATTAAAAATAGATTATTTCTGTTGATTTTAAATATTTCAAATTTTTATCAAATGATATTTCAAGTCTCTATCTTAAAATGCATAATTATGTATTTCACCAGCACAAAACTATTGAAATATTTTGATTCTATAAGAGCTAAAAATATTATTTTACATTATTATATAAATTTAATCTCTTAAAAAGATGTGATTACAATATTATTTAAAACAATAATAATAATAATAATAAATGACATGTATTTTTAAATATAAAGATATTATTTGTTTTACTAATTATATAAGAGAGAAAAATATGTAATAATACAAAATTGACATCTTGATAATATAATCCACGCTTCTCGAATATGTATCTCCTTTCAACATCTCATATTATTAAAATATCTCTTCAAATCATCTATAAACAATTATGAACTAATGTTACATCTAGTTTTCAAGAACAATTGACTGTGAAGATTTAATATTCGATTACTGATCCGTGGTAGTGAACTCACGTAACCTTTCGTCGCGCAAGAAGAAAAGGAGTTAGGTAGTAGAAGCCAAGGTTTTCAAACACGTGCAAGAACACAACGTATCATTATGTCTATCGAGGGAATTCCGTACTGTCAGGATAGGGAGAAAAGGCAAAAGCGGAACGACCAGTTCTGTCGTTTGTGGGTGCCTTTCATGCATCGTTTATTTATGCACGCTTAAACTCCAGTGGGGTTTCTAAGATAGGCTCTTCAGCCTTACTTCTCTCCATCTCATTCCTCTGTGTTCCCGAATTTTTTAAAATCACAAGTTTATTTACTAACTGTAATTTTTTTTTTTACAGATAACTCACCCATCTTCCCAGGAATGACATCGAATTGAGCAGGTGCATCGCTGACGAAGATAGGCCGATTGCACAATTCCTAAAACAAAGTAGAGAATTTTTTTATTTATTTCATCTTAATTAATATCAATAATAATTATTATATAAAAAAGTTTAAGCGACTATACAATAAAAATACATTATGTAACATGGAAAAAATATATGATACATATATAGACATGAAGCATCAACTAAAAATATTAAATAAGATAACGATAATTAGAAAGAGAAAACGTAAATTAGAGAAAGAAAAAGAGAGAAGAAACATATTAAATTTAAAAATTTTTAATTGTAAAACTTATAGTTAAGAAATAATTTAGAATTCGGATATGATTATATTTATTTATATTTTAAATTATAATTTTATATATATATATATATATATTACGTTATAAGGCTGAACTTAACAGAATGAAAAATACTTTTAATGCAAAACTTAAGCGCACATTTATCTGATCATTCACATTGTAACGAAACGTCGTATTATGAAATTGATTCTACGTATTATGCAAATTATGAATTCTCAGTGCATATTTTTCTATTGATGAATCTGAAGTCTTTCCTGTTATTAGATCTGGATGCACAATTCCTGGAAAATTCTCTAAAGCTGAGTATAGCATGCATTTACCTATAATTTATAACATTTTTATTAATTATTCTTAATTAATCGATTCTTAATAAATCGAATGTCATTTTGTACATTTCCATTATCGTGCATTTACTCTCACGTTTGATGTACGCTAGTTTCGCAGTAATTGCAGTATATATAATTTTCACATTATCCTTTATCATTCATGCTTTACTGATTTTTAAATAGAATTATTTTCTCACTAACAATTGAGGTATACATTTAAAACAAACATATGTATTGTATAACACAATGTAAAATAGTTACGAGGATAAAATTAAGACATTAAATAAAACTAAACTTTATGCACAAAATAATTTTTAATTTTCTTCTAATTAATATATGTATATCCTTTCTTAATTATCAAATACACTTAATAATTATCTGACATAATTTTATATTGGAAATTTTACAATAATTTCCATGAAACATTTATATTTCGTAAATTTTGGCTAGAAAGTTGGAAAGTTGTTCGGAGAAACAATTATCCAATAAAAAAACATGCACACCTCAATTATGTTACCTTATGGAGAAATGTCAGATATTAACGACACGAAGCACCAACGCGCATATATTTCGCAATACATAAAGGGGCCGCATTAAATAACTGTTCTCCAACTGTTGCATCCCGCGCTGGCGTAATGCAGCTCTCCTCTTTCGCGCGTTTCCGGTCGGCAGTGGAATCGTGACGGGAATCTTTGGCGACGGTGTTAAAAGCGCGACACACGCCACGTACATACGCATTTCTCCACGCAATTGTTGACCTTGTCGTAGGAATGCGTATGCTTGTCAGTGACTTCTATTCAGATCACTATATAATACTCGATGGTGCACGGCCACGCAATGTCTCGTTCGGTAAGCGGAAAAGACCAGCGGTTACGCGTCGTCGACTTCACCTGCAGCTCGCTCGTTTCTCGACCCATCGTGCAGGTTGCATAACCAACGCCGCAGGATCGTTGATCCCTGCTCCGATATTCTGGAATCGCGATTATTTCGCGGACCTCGAAGGATCTCATTCGTGAGAAAAATGAGATTCGAACAGTCTACTTGATGGTAACCCAACACATAATTAAATAAAATTAAGTACTTCTATTCTTATGTAAAAAATTTGATTAAGTGATTTATTAATAATTATAAAAGACAATGGAGAAAATAATTTTACAAAAATGATAAATATTAAAATGATGTAATTTAAATATTTATAAATGATAAGAGAATAGTTTTTTATGTATTCAGTGAATATGTTAGCAAGATAATTGTAACATAAGAGCTCTCGACAGAATGAGTGGTTCCGTTATATGATTTGTCCCAAGCAGAGTATAACTCTATTCAGTAGACAATTATAAGCACGCAGGCGACAGAGCTGCGTGTCAAGGTTGCGAACTGTTTTTGTTACGGTTCCTAAGTTCTACGTCGCGCATCTTTCTGTTCTTTAGGAATTAGAGCGAACCGAGGAAGATAGTTTACTTCTATACTGCTCCCGAAGGAACAGTTTCGTTGCATCAGCTAGCAATGGAATAAATCATCTTTTAATGTTCGTGGCCCAATTACAAAAGATATATGTGAGACATTTTTAACTGATAGAAATTAATTATTTCTAAATATCTTATAATTTCTATAAACTATTATAATAATAAAATATTAATGTATATACATTACATGTGTACTATATGTAAAATGCAACTATATTTTTATATATTTTGCTAATTGCAGGAAAAAAGCGATTGATAGCAAAAGATAAAATATTAATCGAAAGAATAAAAATGCGGTCTTACTTTCGGCCTTTTCCATTGAAACTGGAACGGCGGTGTCTGGTGATAAAAGACCGAAGCTTGGGTTGCTGGAAATTCTGGATCCTCCCAGAGCTCACCTCGTTTCAAGCACGAACGCTTGATTCGTTCGTACTCGCTCATTACGTCCTGAAAAACAAGGAAGAGCATTCATAATTAAATCAGAAATTACCTTTATTATTTACTATTAATTTTCAATATAAACTAATTATTCATCTTAGGCGCATATAACATTGATATTAAAATCCAATTTTTTAACGGTTATACAAAAAAAAGCAAACTAGGTAAAGCCAAGATAATTGTAATGTATTTAAAGTTATCTTTAAATAATCTCTCGATCTCGCGAGCGTAACAAAGCGTCATAACAGCTATTCCATAATTACAGCTGCTTAGAATTTTATGGAAATAACTTCGGAGTTATTTAGATGTATACAAAGACAAAGACTTAATATCCTGTTAAACAAAGAAGCTTCCTAGCTAAGTTGAATTAAAAGATTACGCTACATCTAATTAATATTAATGGTTCATTACTAATAGAGGGTGAGAATTTAACAGTACCTCTACCCACATATCACATTCTCATTCTTCTCTTCATCTTCTCTCGTAATTAAGGCGCAACCTTAAAAGAGTAAGAGATGTTCAAAAACTTCCCTGAAATACCGCAGTGCGGTTCTCTCGCGACGATTAATAATGCGCATTAGCAAATGTCGACGTTTAAATTGCACGAGAATACAAGGAACTTCCTGGAGCATTCTCACGCAAAATAATCTTACGATACGTCTTAAAATCTCGCTAGAAAATATTCCGGGATATAAATCCAAAGATGTCGCCAATTACGAAAAATTTGTATATCGTAAATCTTGACTTTAAAATTTTCTATTAGAAAGAATCAAGATATCTATATATTTAACTCATAAATTTGAGAAAAATGTTAAAATCTTTCTGTTTTTCACGTATATTCTCACGTGATGATTTTTAAAAGAAGTATTGTAGTATATAGTGTTTCAAGAAATATGTATTATCGAGATATTTCTGAGAAAAAAATTGTGTTTCACCACAGCAAGAAAGAGAAATGCTGGTTTATGTTTTTTTTTGGGGCAACATTTAAAATTCTTTCGCATATTCTTTCCCACGAGCGTATCTCGTTGACCTTTATAGATCTCTTGATAGCACTCGAGCGATCGAACAACTCGCGAAATTTTGCTTACGCAAAGCGTATGCCTCATTGCTGCTAAAAATTGTATTAATAACATCCTGTCAGCCGAACAAAAGTAACAAATCACTTTCACGGATATATCTATTCTCGCAATTAACGGCGCGTTTTGACCTCGATTTTCCAGCCGATAATGCGTTTCAAACTCATCGAACACATTGCATCCAGGTCAACACTCTCTCTCCAGGTCGAGGTTTTGCTGACAGCGTTTAACGATGTCTCTTTTTTTGTCACCGGAGATTTGGCAGGAAATAAAAAGTCGTTGACACCTCTTCGCCGAGTGAAGCCTTCAGTCGGAATGAATAACAACGATTAGCCTCGCTTGCCACGTCCGTTACACTTTGTATGTACGTATAATTTTTCTACCGGTATAACCGGCAATCCGTATCGACACTTTACACCAAGCTTAGTTAGCGATGATGCTCATTCGTGTAACTTTAATGATACGGCATTATCGCCGAAGTGAAATTAAAAAATATCCCGCAATGCTGCGCCGGATATTCGCGTATTTACTTGTAAAATACACATGCGCGTCGGCAACCCAGCGATTCATTAATATTAATGTCTTCTTGCGATTATTAATACGTTCGATACTTTTCCCGCTTGTAACTTCTGCTTATGTACGAATAAATCATCTAAGAAGTGTGAAAAGAAATGTGAATTAATATACATATTTATTATATTATGTAAATATTATCAATATATATTCTTTTATTTTTAATCAAAGAAAATAACATTAGTCAAGATACTATATTATGTATAATCATCTTATTCTATCATTTTTTTGCCAATAAAATTTCTGATTCTTTAATTAAGTGATTATACATTTTGTCTTTGGCAATTTTTAAATTAAGATTTTAGAAAGATTTTAAAATTAATTGAATTAACTTTACCTATTTACTTATTTACCTTGAACAAATTATAAATATTGATTCATTAGTTTTTTTTTCAAAAATTTCTCCTTTAAATTGCTAATATTAAAATATCAATCTCACATTGATCAAAAAATTACTCTTAAAAATATATATATTTTTCATTAAGTTTCCTTATTCGAAAAAATAAGAAATTTTCGTAATAAACATTTTCGCTTATCGACAGGTTCTGTCCTCTCTTTGTGGGACATATAAACGTTAGCCATTGAGATGACGGGCCATTGAACGTTTCTCTCTAGGACGAGGGAGATGTCCTCCACGCCTCAGTGAACCGTAACGCCGTCATTAAGTTTTGCAACGACCGTTGATAACATATTTTCACCGCGTAGGCGATAATGCGGGAGAAGGTGCGCGCCCACGGCTTGTAGTCGTGAAAGCGTCACGATATTGCGAAATAGTCAATTACTTTCATCGGGGCATCGCGTTCCGGTTTCATCGTGCATTGTTCCGAGGCCGGTTAATTTTCGACCGAACGGCGAAACGCAGCGGGTGCGCCAATTAAAATCGTAATAAAACGGCGTCGGGTAATTAGCGCGAGACACGAGACGCGCTCCTCCTCGCTCTCTGACTCGCCACGTTTCTTTTTCTTCTTCTTTTTTTCTCCGGTACTAGCGAACAATCCTGTTTTGTTGCCACCTATTGCTACCTTGGCATACCGTGCTGAGGCGTGTCGTCGCGCGACAACACAAAGAGTTATATGTCTGAGCTATTCCTTTCGTAACATATTGCTTGCAGTGTAGCATATAGCTCGCTGTTTTTCGTTATTACACCTGCATCGTGATAAATTATTCAAAATCAACAAGCGTGTCTTGCACACATAATTTAACATTTATTTTTCGTCATTGACATAAGCTTTACCTAGTTGCTTCACCCATAAGAATTTATAGTTTCAAAGAATATTCTTACGTCATGGGCGTCCGTAGGATTCTTTCTAGAAGGGAGCATAATTAAATTTTTGTTGTTTTTATTTTTTGTTCTTTCTTAATTTTTTAAATTTAATTTTTGTTTAAAGTATTTGGATATCGATTTATAGAATTAATTATAAATAAGTTGACAAGCTAAAAATAAAACACAAAAAATGACAGCTTTATATTTTTTCTGAAATAATTTTTTTATCTTTGTTAATATTCTGGAATTAATACATTGCATATTATATTATATTTATAGGCAATTTGGAATTATTAAAATAATTTTTTTCTTCAAAATTAGCACTTTTATTACTTAGAAATAAGAAATGAAAAATTAATACAAAGTTAACGTTTCTACACGAATCTCGAAATACTCTGTGTTTTACCTAAGCATAGCAGAGCTTGAAAAAGATTCTTAATTTACGTTTCTGTGCTTAAAGCGGCTTTATCTAAGGACAGCACGGGAGATACGGTTATAATGACTAAAATTGCGGAAGGCCAAGGAGTATATCCGCGCCGTGGTCCACGTCGGGTGAGGCAAGCCGTAAAGGCCTTCTCGACAACCACCGACACACACATCGCGTAGTGGTCCGTGCGCCTCAAGGCCGCTGGAGAACCAAGCATGAAACTAGTTCGACCGGTACGAAAGTATGGTAGCTATCATATAGCTAACGCGTATACGTATAGTAGATCGCTCAAGTACTCGCGGAAGACGGCTGCTCGGGAATTCACCGGGTAGAATGTATGGACTTGGAATGTATCTTCCAAGATGCCTTCGAGAAATAAAACTGAATATCGTCATTGGTATTCCGTATCATCGGCCATATTCAATTTTTTTCAGCATCAGCAACTCTTTACAACCTTCTCGCAAGACGGTTCAATAATCGCTGAATCAACGAACGCAATCTCCTATAAATAATTTATTTTATTTTTTAATATCCATTTGATCCCAGTTGTTAAAAAAAATTATTTGTTTGTGTTTAAGTAAATATTACATCACGAAGAATTATGAGACATTTTATAAGCGATTACAAACTTCAAAGAAATTAATGATAAATATGAAAGTAAGCTGAACAAATAAAAGATAGATGGACGGTGCATTTTTACAGCAAAGGGATGCGTAATCGTTGATGAGTAATCGTATACTTTCTACTGGTTAAAGAAGTTTTACAGCTTGCACATATGGCCTTGAGACTCAGGCGCATTCGAGCGAAGAGCTCGCAGGGCGAAGAAGCCGCGCTTCTTCTTCGTCGTGACTCTGCGAAGTGGCGGATGATGGTGCGGAAATACGAGGGCTTTTGCGTCCTTCCTATCACGGATTCTTGACACGTCACTCTCCGTAAGAACGTTTCAAATGCGCGATTTGCTTGGGCGGAAGGATCTTACGTCGGTCACGTGTTCCGAAGCAAACGTATTATTACGTTCACTTTGTTCCACAAAACGAGCAAGGCCGGTCGTTTGATCGACGTACAACGTCGCGTTTCGTCGACAACGAGTGACCAAACTGGTTGAGCGTGCATCAGCAAACTTTTTGCATAATATAATATACAAAAAAAGTTTATATTCAAGAATTAGATTGTATGACAGACCCTGACAAATAATTATATATAATCAATATTTTAAAAACTGTTGCTTCAATTTACTCTGGTAAAAATAGAAATCTCTGAGAGAAGTAATGTTCTCGAAGACGTATTAAATGTTGCATAAACATTTTTAAATGTGGCTGTTTTATTTTTATGTTCGACGCAACTTTATAATCTTAAATAAATACATCGATTGACAAATAAACGCTAAATGAAAAAGAATGTACTCATATAATGTTCAAGAATTATCCTCCGATTATCTCTGATTCAAGTGCGAGTTGCAGTTACAGATGGTATCTTAAGCATGACCTTATCTTTGACAGGCAAAATTATTTATCAGCTTTATGTTATTTCTCTGACGCTAAAACGACTAAGCCAAGATACATGTTCATGTAACGGTACTGAACACAACGAGCGCTCTTCGTAACCTCGTGAACTGTGACCCTAATTTTCCCCCTCTATTATAATCCGCTCCATTTTTCCCTTCACAATT